AGAAATGCAGACAAACGATGAATTTTCCTAAAATCCATGATGGAATGGATTTGGGCACCAAATCCATCATCAAAATCCATGAAGCAAACGATCCCTAAGTTGTTCTTTGATGGAGTATGCATGATACATGGACTTCCTAAGAAGATTGTGAGTGATAAGGATTCCCTATTCACTAGTGTGTTCAGGTCCACTCTCTTTGAGCTGCAGAGGGTCAAGCTACACTATGCCACTGCCTTCTGCCTACCATCCTCGAACAGATGGACAAACTAAGTTAATTGATGCTTGGAGGGGTACTTGAGGGGAATGACACATCACAATCTACAAGATTGGCCTGCTTGGCTGTCCATGGCAGAGTGGTGGTATAATAATAATTACCACACCAGACTTCAAACCACATATTTTGAAGCCTTATACGGGTACCTCCCTCTTAGTTTGAATAGCAGAATCCTTTGACAAAATCAATAGCAGCTGTAGCAGAATGCTGAACTAGCAATAAAGAATGGTGAGAATCCTCAGGACCAATTTAACTCAGGATTAAAACAGGCAGAAATATATGGCTGATAAGCACAAGACTGAAAGAGAATTTCCAAGTGGGGGACAAGGCTTACCTCCAATTTCCAACTGAGGCCTTAAAGGCAGTCTACAGTTGCTACAAGAGCAAATCATAAATTAACTCCTAAGTTCTATGGACCCTTCTTGGTATTGCCGAGAATTTGAGTTGTGGCTTACAAACGACAACCGCCTACTGGTTCTGCCATTCATCTAGTCTTTCATGTTTCCTTGTTGAAGAAGACTTCTGGTGATCAGTTAAGCACACAACCTACATTGCCTGAGTTGGATGATGCTGGTAGTTTGAAGATATCACCCTTGCTAATTTCTAGGCGAATACCGTATGATGTAGCTATCGGATTTCTATGATTTAATTAAGATTATTTGTCTTTCTCATCTATATTGGGTTTGGATTCTTAATGCTTTGTGTAGACTAGCCACATGCATCTTGTTTTTTTGTTCTAAGATGAGACCAAGAGTAGATACCTAAGATAGAACACTCTTATATACTTCATAACACCCAATTGAGCACGAGAGTGGAAAGCGAGAGTTGTGTGATCATTAGAGGAATTATCGGACTTCATGCTAGGTAGTTAATTAATTGATTGTATGAGAGTAAATAATTAATTGACTAGTTAGTACGTAGTTATTCTTTAGAGAGATAGCTATCAGCTTAGAGATAACTTCAGTCATTTGAATGAGAATTAAATTGATTAAGAAATGAGTTGAATAAGGTAATTAGGTAGCGAATTTCAGATCGTCTTTCCCTAGAGCTTCTCTCCATTAATTTTTCTCATAGTTAATTTGTCACTAGCTTTTCGAGTTTAGTTATTTCTTTTAATTTTTTTGCTACTCAAATACTTTTGCTCTTTTCCATACCTTAATTTTGATCGTTAAATCTAGAGTTGTACCAATCCATGTGGGACGATTATTTCCTTATCTTTATTACTCGATCGATAAAGTGCATATATACTTTTGTTGCATCACCCATCGCCGCCATAGACTAGTCGTCGAAAGAGGAAGAGACCACTTCACTGCGCCCTATCCCAACAACTGCTGAATCTTCCTCGACACTATTGGTCACCACGGGAACCGCCGAATTCTGCAAATTTGGCGGCCCAAACTGTCATGCCTAAATAGCCGCTTACCATCCCCACCACCAAAATAGTCCTTCTTGTCATAGGTTATTTAGTGCCGAAATAGGTGGATTTTTTGGGGGTGTTTTGGAGCTACAAAACTTCATGAAGCTGGCATTGGATGATGACTCAGCCCGCGCCAATACCCAAATTGCCACCAAGTGGGTGTCATCAGGAAGTAGCAAATACAAGGCGGGGTTTTGTCGAGGTTGAAGGTGAACAGTCTGCCAGCACTCAAGGCTGTGAACGTCGGGTCCAACTTGGATTTGTCTATCGAGGCAGCTTGTGGTGGACATGGAAGGAATTTTGAAGGGAAGGAGATGGAGGCCAATGATCGATGTGTTTCATGGGTGGAGGAGATGAAGGCTAGTGGTGGGAATGGAGTCGTGGATGGTAAGGTGCTATTACTTCTCCATTCTTTATTTGAATTAGTACAATCAGGATCAGGAAAGGAGGAGGAATGAAAGTAGTATATGAAAATGAAGGGGAAAGGTGTTGTGTGGGCAAAACTCGGGCTCAACTATCATGAACTCACTTGTTTGTGCTAGAAGTTTAGTTCGAATGTTTGAACGAAATTGGAAGAAGAGGAAGCACGGACCACTACAAAATCATTATCGAGAAGAGTTGAAGTGTGGTTCTGAAGTTGACTACAACCTTGAGAGCAAGCTTTGTCTCAAGGAGGTGGATTGTTTGAAACCCAGTTTTTGGAGGATTTGAGTCTTCTATTAACAATATTATTTTGTTTATTATTTATTGATATTAGTAATAGTTTAGTCGAATTAGGGTTATTCAGTAGGTTTTTCTTGTATTTTCCTATATATATGTACCTAGAGTTTTTAACATAATCAATCAAAAAATATATTAGCAAATATCTCTCTAAACCCTATTCTTCCAAAACCTCAATTTCTCATCTCTCCCTATCCAGGTCGCCGGCCATTCTCCTCTAATATTCCCTAAATCTCAATTTTGTCCCTAATTCTCACTTAATCCCTAAATATCAATCAATCTCCAAATATTATCTCACAACCCGACCCGTAGAAGCTCTAGAACAGGGTTTCTAACACTCACTTACTTCCATCATCTTCAAAGCTCCATATGTATACTTGTAAACTGCAATACAAAGCTTCAACATGCCAAAAAGCTTTCCCATATGCGTTCTTCCTCATTTCCCTGGTTTGCTGTCCATGGGAAAGTAATCCCACAGTTGAATATCCCCTCCCTAAGACCTCGTTCCCCATGGTAGTAGTACCAAACTGGCAATTCCACAGACCGCTTGCACCACACAACTCCTACATCAACATCAAACTCTCTCGTTGATGAAGCTCAATACACCTGTTGAGTCCTCCAGTCGAAGCTCACAGGAACTACAAAACTGAATATTTTCAGCTACCATATCAACGCCACAAATCCCAGCTACTCGAGCGCTAGCAACTACTCCAACGTCTATTTGAACACTTACAGCTACTGCCTCTGTTTACAGAATTGTACTAGATGTTGAACCGGAAAAGTTAGTGGTTTAGAGTTCCGTGGTTAACTGTTACAAAATCGTTGTTTAACCATTCATGATATATAAAATATAAGATTTGTATAATACACTAATTTAAGAAAGAATTTATCATTGACCATAAATAATTTCAAATTCATATCATGACCGAAATAAGAAATCATTTAAACCATCTCACAAAAGAAATCATAATTGTTTTAATTCAAGTTAAAAATTACGGCTTGAGTCATGGTGGACCACATAAAGTAAAAAAAGATGTTAAAAAATGAGAAGATGAAGTAGAAACAAAATTAATAATTCTGGTTTGATGGTCTTAATTTATTTTAAAGTATTTTTAAAATTTTGTGGTAAAAATAGTAAATAGTTGACTAGTTAAACCGTGGTGGTTCATCTAGTTTTATGTTGAACCCTGAAAAACCGTTTGGTCCATTAATAATCATCCAACCAATGAACCGACCATTATCATTACTGGTTTAGCAGTTCTACTGGCTTAGTCGTTGATCCGGTTCGGTTCTTATAACAATGGTTACTACCCAAGCAACCCCAGTTGTCTAGTCAACATTGGCAACAATAATGTGATCCTCTCTCAACGTGATGTGACACTAAATGAATGTTCGGGGATGACTTGCTACATGTTTGAGCTCCTCCTTCCTTAAACTAGGCAATGCCAAGAAGCAATGATAAACTTCCCTATGTATCTCTCCTACTATATGAAGCCTACAGAAAGGATCAAATCATAAATTCGACTGTATTGTCTTCCTCTCCCCCTCGTCCATCACCAACCGCCAGCGAAAAATCCCTCCACCAAAAAATCCAATTAAAAAACTAGAAACAATCGCAATCGCGGATCTGGAAATGGCAAACATAAGCCAGAAATCTCGTCTTCCTCTTCCAACACTTCAGATGGTGAGACCAGATTCGGTCGCGCCAGCATCTTTTCCGCTGCAACTTCTCTTTCTTCTTCACCGAGACAGAGGGCAGCAGGGGGACACCACCCCAAATTTCAAGTCGTCGTCAGACCCCCCACTAGTGATAGCGAGATCCGCCACCTCTGAAATGTGGATGCCTTCCCGCCGAGTACGGCTCCAGCGAGGAACGCTCGCCTCGCCTCCCACAGACCATCTTGGTCGCCTCGCCTCCCAATCCTCTATCCGCCATCGAGGAGGGTCGGTCTCGGTCATGTCAGTGGTGAGGATTGTGATGGACGGTGGTCGAGAGTTGGGGTTGGCGACACATCTCAGGGCTTGGGTGGGCTTGGAATGTGAATATGCGAAGCTTGGAGAGGAGGATTGTGATGGACGAAGTGGAGACTTGGGGTTGTGCTCGGCGGTGGCGGGTGGTAGGAGGGGATAGTCGCGATGAAGATGAGCGGCGGTTGGGGAACGGAAGGGGAAAGAACCGAGAGGGAGAGAGAGAAAATAATTGTTTTTTTTTGTTAATTCTACCTTATATTTTTATTGACTAAAACATTGATATGTCAGCTTTTCCGTTAGTCCAGTCAACACGTTAACTATCAGTCTATCACCGTCAAATAATGGGACAGAAGTGGTATTTTTGGTATTTCGCTAAAGGTGGCTATATTTGACTAAACCGTTAAAGTTTTGACTACAAGTGTATTTTACTTATAATTTACTAAAAAGTAATTAGTAAAAGTTTATTTTCATACTAAATGTGCTCTTGATTGTCAGTGTCACCACCTAGGCAACATAGCATAGCGTGTCCCATTTTTCAAAAGGGCAAAAACGGCCATCGTCGAAAGCGAAAAGGCCAGCTTTGGAGATAGAATTTGCCACCTCACTTTCTTGCCAAATTTCCTCGTTCGTTTTATCCCCTTTGCTTTGGACTTTCCGAAATGGTGAAATCTACAAATACAAAAAAAATTACTCTCTTTCACGATCAGCACGTTCAATTCTAAAGATCCGAGACCTTGTTAAAAACCACGTCTCAATGAGAACCCCGTTTTCCTTCTCCTCTTTCTCTCTCTATACCTCCCACTTCCCCCTCTTCTTCTGCTTCCATGGCTGCCCATTTTGCCATCTCGCTGCACAACCCGCTTCACTTGCCGTAAGTTCCTTCTCACTCCTTTCCTGTGAACGAAACTTTGGATTTGGCTGTAATTTGTGGAATGTTAATGATTCTTGATTGATCCGGAATGTGTCCTTTTTCGCTAACTGATCCAGCTTCTCTTTGGCATATGGGTGAATATAAAGATGTGTTCAGAATAACCATTTGTGGAACTGATTCAATTACAGCCGAAAGTTAGCTTGTTTTGGTCTTCCTGGTTCAAAGTTCGCTCCTTGTTCGATTTTCTTGTTAGTATAATTACAGTTGCCTGGTAGAGCTGACCCGGGTCATTCTATGCTTGGTAATATAATGCATAATTAACAATTCCTGGTGCTTTATTGAAATGGTAGAAATGGAGATGAGATACTATATGATTATATGAACTTTCACTTGTAGATCCTCATCCTAGTACTGGTTTCCCTTGGGGGAAATCCTTACGATTCTTAAATGAGAAGCCACGACATGGATAATGATATTCAGGGGATCATGATGGACTTAGTAAAACTTCGTACTCATTAGTGTGAATCAAAACTCATGTTGGTTTGAAGTTTCTTGGTGGATTTTAGTTAAGAAAGATCCTTCCCTGAGCAAAGCTGATTATGTCTCAGTTGAATGATTAAGAACTAATCTCTTCCTGAATCATGCTTTGGGAATCATGTGTTTTGTCTCTGTTAGCACCAATTGGCTTCCTTTTGTGGGAAAACTCAGTCTCTCAACTGATATTACAGGAGATCATTTCGTGCGGAACTTAAGGCTGCTGCACCTGATTTACCAAAACTAGGCGGGGAAAAGCTCGGGAATCCCACCTGTGTTCCAAGAAGCAGATTACCTGGTGTCTTTTCTTCTGGTGTTTCGGTGAAAGCATTGTCATCTGTGGCTTCATCGTCTTCTTATTCTGAAGAGACTGATCATGAGAAAGGTGCTTCTGTCCCTAAAACTGAGGATGGTAAAGTCGAGTTCAATCGTGTGAATTGTCTTCTATGGGTGTTGCACGAGTCCGCCTCAAGCTTTTCCCATGAGGTCGAGTCACTTGGACTGGCAGGAAGTGTCCCTGAACTTGCACAGGCTTGGAATGGGAAGGACGTGCATGCATGGCACAAACGTATTGCTTATCATGTATGTATGGACTTACTAATGCATTGAACTTTCTGATTTTAAAGCATGGTCAGTTGAGAAGGAAAATATTTCTCAAAAAGAGAGAACTTTTTTCCTGATATACTTGGGATGGAACAGTTTGTCTGGAAATAAATATCATCATGTTTGTTCAGGTAGCTGTATATGCTTTGTTCCGAACGGTAATCGACATGGAGATTTTACTTTCTCATGATCGTCACAACAATGCATCTCCAGTCAAAGAAATGTACGTTACTGGCTGCTTTCTTGATGTCTGATAGTTATGCTTTTTTACTGAAAACATAAGCTGACTTGGTGAACAAGTTTACATTTCTACATCCTCAGTTTTGTCTTAAGATGTTAGTTGGAACATGAATATTTCTGCAATATCCATTCACATTATCAACTACTTCTCATTTTCTTGCTCTTTTCCTTCTTTGATGGCTTCAGCTTGACCCCGAAAATGAACATTGTGGGAGACTACATAGAGAGTCAACTGGGTGCAAAGCATTCAGAGCTGGTAGAATGGTTTAGAGTGGTGGAGCTGCCACGTGTAACAGGGTTTTTCTCCCCCTTCCTGAAGAAGTGGTCTATGGAGTATGCTGGGAGGTACGAAACAGTTTATGGGATTTATTTTATTGAATATCTGAGGGCCTAAAACACATTATGCATTCAGTGGTGTTGCAGGGATTGTTTTAGCTATTAGTAGCTGTGCTGCTGTAGGGAAACTGGGCTCTGCAAGAATTTCTTCGCCACTGCTTCTTTGTTCAAGTGAGGATGTCTTAGTTGAGCTCATGGATCTTTCACATAGCCTTGTAGAAGTAGAGAAACTGCATCACTTAGCAATCGAGGCAGGTTTTGAGCGCAACTTCCTGTCCCATTTTGGTTCGAAGATTTTGCCTTGCAACAAAACTGAGGAGCTAGAGTTTTGGATTGGGTTGGCCCAGCAAAAGCTCTCAGTGGCATTCTGCGAGGAAGTTATCATGAAACCCACAGCTAACTCTTCATCAAAGGTCAGTTCACTTATAGAAGAAAGATCCATTCTCATGTAATATTAACTCTGTAATGTGATGTAGTGGAAAATGCGCAAACCCAGTTTAAAGCACGAACTGGAAACAGTCTCTGAGCATCAACAAGAAACTAAAACACAGTCTAAAACACCACCCAAAATTTAAACTCAATTTGTATGTTATGATTTTTAATAGGTCAATGCAGATACTTTGGCCACTCTTGGACTTTTTGCATATCTGGGAAAGAAGACTAGACTGTTCCTTGCAAAAATGGGAATCAAGGATCTTGATGAGCTGCTCAAGGATCTCCTCAGGTGACTGGTTCAATGCCATATCTGTGGGGATTGGGTTAAATGTATATAAAATAACGTTATTTGGAGCTTGAATTCTTTTTGATTGTGCAGTTACCTGGAGTGTGGTAGCCTTTTCATTTACCCTGATCTCGCCCATGTATCATGTTACCAATGTTTCATAGAGGTAATAAGCGTTCATAATTAGTGCTTCAATTGATCAAGATTGCTGGAGTACATCCTAATAACCTTACCAAAACCTTTGTAGGTAGTGACTGATGAAATTGGATGGCTTGATTTCTATGCTGCGTCTGGTTCTTTGAGTAGTCAAGAAAGGAAAAGATCTAAACAGCATGCAGTTCAAGCAGAGCAAGAGATCATTCTATCAACTGTTTTCACAATTTGTTACGACGTTTTCTCCGGCTTTGCTCATTTTAGCAGATCAACCCAAAAGCCTTTAGATGCAGAACTGTTGGAATTCTTGTTCCGGAGGTAAGCAAATACCATCTTTAGCTTCTGATAGCATTTTTGTTTCTTCTTTCGTTATGCCAATACCAAACAAGTGATTTTTCTAAAGACATAAACCATCTTTGTTTTTCAGTCAAAGTCTCTTGGCTGTTTTTCTGGAAGACTACCGAGCAGCTTATGGTAGATTTAGGTAAGCTATTTTTTAGTCTTGTTCGTTGAAACCACTTGACCAATTGTGAAATGATCATCCCTTCATTGACTGTTCTAAAGCAGTGAATCGATGAAGATCATTGAACTGGGTGGCTCTGACCATGTGCAGAAGCCTATAGACATAAAGATCTCAGACATCCCATCTAGGGAGCTGAAAGATAAGTCTGATGCTGTTTCTGACCTGAGAAAGGTATATCTGGATTGTTTCGAAAGAATGGAATGGCTGAAAGAAAGTTGTTTTAATTTCTGGCTTCTAACTGTATATGTAGGTCAGAAGCAGTGATGGAACAACAAAGGAAACGATTGCTGAGACATCATCGAGCACCAAAACAAAGACGACTTCTCCTGATATGAACATACTCGGGAAATATCGACATAAACTGATGTCTAAAACCGCTGTAAGTTCTTATAGAAAACCGCCGTAAGTTTCATTTGAGCTGTTGTAGTCTACATCCTGGAGAGTCTGAGACCCCTTCTGCTAACATAAACACACCCACATGGGATCTTTCGGCAGGACGTATGGATGGGAACACAGTTGCTAATAGACGACATCATGGATGCTTTGGAGCTACTCATGAAGCAGTTGCGTGGGCAGAAAGTTTCGAAGAGGGAAAAGAGGAAACTGAAGAGAACACTCCGAGACCTAGCTTCCCTCGTGCCCATCACAATTCTAATGTTACTACCTGTAAGTATGTTTCATGTATAGATAGGATACACACATGGAACAATTAATGACATATGGTGCTGTTCCATGTAATTACTTAACCAGGTCTCAGCCATAGGCCATGCAGCGATGCTAACAGCGATCCAGAGATACGTGCCATCCCTGGTAACTCGTGTTCTCGTCTCTTCTCTTCCCTCTTTGTGAGTTTCCTTCATTTTCACGTTAAAGAATGTAGACCAAATTGTGCTTCTCTGGTGTTACTATGTACAGATCCCTTCTCCTTACTCGTCGGACCGGCTAGACATGGTGAAACAGCTGAGAAGAACGAAGAAGCTGGAAGTTCAGTCGTGGGGGATCCTGGAAGATCTTACCCCACCTGGAATTAACATCGAGAATTCGTCGTGTAAAAGACCATAATAATCGTTTACAGCTGCTATTGTTGTTGTACGTTTAGTTTTCAGCTTCATAGAGTGATAAATAGAGGGAAGAAGTTACTCTTAGGAATACTTGGTCTCGTGCATTCAGAAGAGTTTTGTACATATGAAGAAAAGTGTATAAGTTGGCTGTGGGAACTGAGAGGGGCAATAATGTAGTTGTAAGTTCAATGTGAATACTCAGATTGTAAGTTCATTTCATTCCATTCCATTTTAGCTCCTGGACTCTGCGAATTTTAACTTTTCTGATCTCGTTTGATATGGGAATTGGGATTCCCCAAATTTATAAACGTTGGGTACCTAAATGCGATAATTCAAGTTATAGTAGCCATTTGATATGAACGGTGTAAGATTAGTGACTAAGAGTGAAATAAACCCCACCCATTTTCTTAACTGTTTCAGTGAAAACTCCGCCGCCGTTTCCACAATTTTTTTTGGCACTCGTGGTGAGCGTTCTACTAGCTCGCTGCCGTTCGCTTCCAGAAATCAAGTCGGAGAAATTGCCGGAGGACGTCTCTGATTTCAGGCTGCCGCTTTGAAACTTCTCTCCGCCGACCGCTTTTATCAGCTTCCCTGCCCCATCCACTGCTCCGTTGCTCGTTGTTCATCCCTCCAGAAATTCATTTGTAGATGAGTACAGGTTCTTCTTTTTCCTTCTCCCTGCCTTATTCGATTCCCCATTGATGTTAGCCTTGGCTTGTGGTAATATCCAATTTGGGATTCTTCCTTCCACAGTGTCGATTAACTTGGGGCTCCAGCTAGAGTATTGGTGAAATTAAGTTGATAGAATTTGAAGGAAACACCAAAGCGCCCAGGGACTGAAATTATGAATCCTGTGTTCTCGACCCCATTGCAAGTTCTGCATTAGAATGTGTATTGCCTCTAAATTAAGTTGGTCTTAGCTCCAATAATGTCTGATTGCTGGCTGGTTGTGTGTATCGAGTAAGGAATGGAGGGAGGGTTCATTGAAATCATCTTGTAGGAGTTTGTAGAATTGGATGCTTAAAGCATACTTGACACTTGAGTTGTTGTGCACTCGTTGGAGTTAGTACTCATGTCGCTCTGATCTTGTATTGTCTTTATCATCCTTATGATGAAAATGCAGGAGCCAAGTAGTCCCTGAAAATCTGTTCTCTTGGTACATGAATAAGGGGTTTCAGACTCATGAAAGACCTTTGCTTTGCTGCCATTCGATCCACTGCAATGCTGCATTGTAGGGTATTTTAGTTTTGTTTAACAGTTGGTTACAGGTGGGGCATTTGGTGGGAATAGAGGAGCGAGACCAGTGCCCCCAGAGAAAGGAGTCTTCCCTCTGGACCATTTGCACGAATGCGACCTGGTACTTCCTCATTTTCAATTGTCTTGACGTTTTTGGATATGTTAGGGTAGACATTGTTGTTATAACTATGAGCTTCTGCTCAAGGGAAAAATCTGACTGGTCTTCTTTTGTTTCAGGAAAAGAAAGACTACCTCAACTGTCTGAAATCTGGTGGTCACCTATCAGAAAAATGTAGGCAGTTCTCGAAGAAGTACCTGGAATGTCGAATGGAAAAGTGAGTGACATTTCTATACCCGTCATCTGGTACTTGCTCCCTAGACTTGTATGGTGGTGAAATAATGGAATCAGGGAAGATTAGATCTCTTAGATATGACTACCCGTCCCCGGTAGTTTCCTGAAAGCTCATAGCTGATAGGAAGTTATGATCTTTCCACAGTGAGGTTTGAAAATGTGGCGCTGGCCAAGAGTAACTATTTTTATCTTTTTTTTTTTTTTGTAGAAAAGTATAAGCTACTTGTCTCTAGGAATTTGTTATGAATGGAAAGCATATACGACCACTAAGTTGGTTTCTCTTCGCTTACCATCCCTAGTAGTTCCGTAACTGGATGGAGCCTTCCAGCTATGTCTGCCCTCGGATATCAATCATGTTTCATGTTTTGGTAGCACATAGTGAAGGATCGCAGAAATGTGATCCATTCCTCAATTTCGTTGCATTTGATTGCATCATCCTGTTTATTAGCTTGCATTATCCAGTACATTGCTCATGCGGACTTTTATTCTTCTTTTGATTGCTGTATACGCAGGAATTTGATGGCCAAGCAGGATATGTCCGAACTTGGGTTTGCAGAAAAATCTGTGACGGAGTCATCGCAAGCAAAAGACAGCAGCAAGAAGGGCAAGTGATCCCAAGTGTCTTAGCCAACCTTTCTTGCACTACTGAATTTGATGAGTTAAGACGGGTAGTCCAAGAGATTGAAACTAGGGTTTCATAGATTTTTTTTATATTCTGTACAATCGTTCATTTGATGGCCAGATTTTGAGAAACAAAGGGATTCAAGAGCTGTAGGCATAGCTTGTGTTAGATGGATGCTTCATCGGCTAGTAAAATTGATGGGAATAAATTGGATATTGGTCACATATGGTGTCGCTTGCTGGAAAAGAAAACAGAAGCAGAATCAACCAGCTCCAAAAACAATTCTCTAATCCAAACCAAAAGAACTGTAAAGCTTTGCATTCTACAGAAAAATGTAGGGCATGCCAAGACACATTGCCATGATCGCTTAACATGAAACGAACTCCATCAACAGTATGGAAGGGAAAACAGAAACTGCCATAAAAATAGCAGTGTTTCTCAAGAGTTGCCCCCTTACCGTCTTACATTAACCACTCAACAGACTGAGATGATTGTGAGAAAAAGAAAAAAGGGAAGGCAGAAGCTCTAGTACATACACCATCGTCCTCTTGTTTTCTAGACATTCTCTAACTTGGCTGGAAATCCACACACAATTCTTCTATTTCTCAAACCATGGTAGAAGCAATGCTTCTATCGTCATCCCTTTATTACCAAAGAATTTGGAACCTCTTTTTTCAAAAACTGTTGTGATTCAACTCAAGAACCCCACCATCACCTCGAAAAGAACAATAGAGGTAGGGCTCAACTCTTCTGAAGGCCATATGACAGGATTCTCTGTTTTAAGACACTCTTCTTGGATCACGCGCTGCCGCAAGATGGTCCTGCATCAGAATCAACAACCACAACAGACGATTTCACAAAATAAAAAACATCATAACTGAAGTGAAAAAGAAGAAGCAACAATAACAAAGTCTTGAAAAGCGAATTCTAGCTTAGGTTAGCTCACCGAGATGAAATCAAAGGCTTTAGTGTCCTCTTTCTTCGAGCTGTTCATAGTCGAGGTAGGAATTTGATTGGGGAAGCTTGGGTGGAAGATATCAGGAAGTGCTGTTCCTCCATCAGCATAACTAGCACCAACAGTAGCATTTTGTGCAGCATTCAAATTATTACTTTGCTGTTGGAAGTTAGACATTGTCGCAAGAAGTTGCTGCTGAGCAAGAAAACCCCCCATAGCACCATAATTTATTGGTACCGAATGAGCAGAGAAAGCAGGATTCAGCATCATCCCAGGAGGAATAGCATATGGCATAGCTGCGGAAGGAAACACAGTACTTGCATTCATCATGGTCAACTGGGGCCCACCAAGCATGTTCCCCGGGTTTGTACCTTCAGATGGAATAGATGGAGAGATGCTACCTTGCTGCTTGACACCTTCACTAATAGACATACCAGCCAGTAAATCATTGACATCTGCCTTACCATGTTCTTGATTTTTTGAAACCGTCCCATTGGATGGCCCAAATATATCAAATATCTCAGCTCCATTTGTGGCAGGTATTTGATTTGCATCAGAAGCCGGCTTACTGTCAAAGTTCATCCCAGAGAAGAGATCACCACCAGCTTGTTCTTTTGATTCTTCTGCATGAAACGAGACATCAGCAAATGGATCATCATCCTCTTTCTTTTGCTCTGTAGAGTTGTCACTAGTGGGACCAAAACTATCTCCAAGTAAATCGTGAGTGAAAGGAGTAGTAGTAGTGGCTGTCACATTCGGTTTCACTTGATCATTTGACCTTACAGAAGGATCATCTGCTTTGAAGAGATCATCCGACTCTCTTGTGTCAATTAAGTCGGGAATCTGGACGGCAGACACAGCCGATACTGAAGTTTCTGAAATAGTTGGCATACGACCAACTTTTCCATCACCCAAAAGGCTCAATACCTGCTCATAGGCAAACATTCACAGGTTAGTGTCCTTAAAGCACGTCATATGGTGAGATCCAGGTTCTGTGGTTATAAATTAACTTCAAGTGGGCAAAAGTGAACATTCTTGCAGAGGAAAAGTGTATGCATGATACTTAACGCAAGAGAAGCTTCCAGCAACATCTATAACTCAGTGCAAGAGATACTTCCAACAACATACATATCAATAGCAAATAAAGAACCGTTTGAAGAATTAATTCTATGTAGCTAAAAGAATTGAATCCACGGCTCCATTACATCCAGACAATCAAAAGCGAATCTCAAAAACAAACTTCAAATGGCCAATAACCATAAACTAAAAGTAAATATCTCTCAGCCATCACAGGCAGAATGCTGTATAATTCTAAAGGGTTCTGAATACACTACACCAGTTTAGTGCAGCCAAAAGCCCAAAACCAAGATCATTGGCACAGGTGTGCAGCAAGCATACCATATTCAGAAAGAACAGCATTACGAAACTAGGTCGGGCATGTTAAATTACACATACCTTTCTAGCTTTTTCACTGAGAGAACTTTGGGGAGACTGAGAGCATTTCTCCACCACATCTATGTTTTCATCGAAGTAAGAAGCTATGATTGAAAACTTCTCGTCATCCCTTTTCCTCAGAATTGACTCAAGCACACACACTGCTCTCATGCGAACCTGACAATAATAAAGCAAAAGTCTTCTCAGAATATGAACTGCTAATCATAAGAAACATGTTCACACCTTTCAAAGGAAAAAAAGGATGAAATTATAATCTTCATACAAGCAAATCAACTAAAATAAAATAAAAACCAGGGGTAACATGTACAAACTAAAGGATCCAAATAACATGTTTTACAAGTGCCATAATAGACAAAGATATCAAGGTAAAGAATCCAACCTGCCAAGACGGGGATTGAAGCTTGGATTCAAGGGCTCGACTCAAAGCCAATGCATCCAGTTTAGCTGCTTCAACCAGAAAAAGATGCACGGCATCTCTGGTGGGTTGTAAACGTACACCACCAGATGTCACTATGGTTTCTAGCAACCTTTCTTCCCGCGTCTTGCTCTCTGTAACACTGGAACTAGAGTTCCCATTTTCAGTCATAGTATTGGCTGATCTTGAATCCTGGCCCCATGATCCACCACCAGCGCTCCTGGAAGCCCCAAAACTGCCATGATTTTCATTACGCAACTGGACTGGTTCATATCTACCTGCACTATTATCAGGATCCACCGTCAATGACCGATGAAGATTCGGGCCCCTGTAGTTCCCAGGATCATTGTTTCTTTGATGATTCCCTTGAGCCAAGTTACTAAGTCCCTGCTTGATAGTTGCACTCCCTATGTCAACTACCTCGCTAAGAAATGACTTCCTATCATCTGATGATGATGATGATGATGATCGCATTTCGAAATTTGTATTTCCAAACCCTTCCATTCGCTTACTGATCTGTGCGGGTGCTGGCTTGCTGTTCTCCTCGGAGAAAATAGCAGAAATAGCATCCTGAGCTGTATCCCTCACACTCTTATTTAGGGCATCCCCCTTCAATGGATCCGGCTGCCCCTTGTAATGAAGCAGCTGCCGCACAGCCACGGAATGTCTCTGCATTTCCCTCCTGAAATCCGCACCAGATTTCCCCACAGAATACTTTATCAACCTGAGAGCCTGCCCACCATATCTCGATCATAAGTTTTACACAATCAAACAAGTGGTGAAGCCTAGAACTTGCGAGGGCTCCCTCCCAAAATTGCCAGCACACTGAAGAAATCGAACATAGTAATAAGAAGCTGAAAAGCAGAGCAACTTACCTTCTGTTTAACGACGGGGCTCTTATGCTCGAGCCTCCTCAAGATAAATTCGGAGACCTCCTTCACAATACTTACATGAGAAGAGCGCAAGAGATCACAAACCTCTTCCAGTTTGTAGACGGGCGTCACCTTATCTTCGTCGGAAGTGGCCCCATCGATCATCCTCGATCTCCAGTATGACTCCACCGCTCTCCTGCTTGAATCCATGACGAAAAATCTCCCCCGATACCTTCCCTCCCGATTCTCAAAGAATGAAAACGCCTAATTTTCAACCAATCCCGCGGGAATCATAGATCGAAATTGCGCCGGAGTGTTTCTGAGACTGTATCCCAGTTGGGTAATTGGGGAGCTGTGAAGGGGATCGAAGCTTCGAGGGCAGAGAGGGCGGGAGAGAGAGAAAGAGAGAAGCTTGGGATTTAATTGCGGAAAGGGCACAGGGAATGGAAGAAGAACAAACGAGGGAAGTAAGAGAGAATGGAAAGGACAGATTTCGGTAGCGAAAAAGTTACAAGTTCTATACTTTTCTATTGAGTGGGTGACTCACCCCGCTGTGTGGTTAACATTTACAGTTGGAAGCGGCGCCACCGGCGCACCTTAGCTGAGTTGACATTTATTCTCTTTCAGACTTACTCGGAATCACTGGGTTAATTGCAAGGTTGGTCACTGAGATTATAAAAAAGGTTCACGTTTGGTCACTAAAAATATTTAATTTTATTCGTAATCACTGAAATTAGTTTAACAGTCTAAATTTAGTCATTCTCCGTTCTCTGTTAACTTCCATTAATTGAGTCTGTTATTTGCTGACGTGGCTAACAGAAACGCCTAGTTAGCCTAATTTAATCCGAAAAAATGTAAATCCGACCGGCCAAGTCATCAAAACCCGCCATGTCAGATTGAGACAACCCAACCCGTTACCCAATCCTTCCGACCCAGCGACCCGACCCTATAATCTACATCTACCGGCCATTCCTTCTCCTTTACCAAAAAAGAATCACTCTAAAGCAAGATCGACAATGAAACGAATTGCTGCAATTAAACCTAATAAACTACTCCAAAATCAAACACTCACTAAGAAGTTGATGATGGAAATCAATATCATCTGAAGCGAAGGCATTGACAAACACCCAATGCCAATTTTCACCAACCCAAAACATAATTACAATTCATCTATTCTTCTCTTCCGAATCCCATCAATCGAGAGAAACCCCACACATCCAAAGCATTTCAACGGCATATGAGAAATGAAATGGCAAACAAATCGTGAAATGGCCCCAAAGCTCGAAGGGATCGAGAAATCACCCTTAACATACCAGAAAAGAAGAGGAAAAAGGAACAGAGGGGAGAAACGAAAAGGAGATCTCTAGGATGGGTGATTTCCAGCGACGACTTCTTCCTAAACCCAGCACTACTAATTGATTTTCGGCTGCTCCATCTGTGACTGCTGCTGACTTCTCGTTCTGTGTTCGTTGTTCTTGTTCGTCGACGTGCTTCATCTATGGCTGCTTTTGGGTCCGATTGCTGGATTCTGGGTTCAATTGAAACAACGATGGTTGGGTCGCCCTCCTCGAGTCGAGCGGATCTGCTCCCCTGCGAGCCTTCTTCCTTCTCCTCTGTTGGTTCTATTTCTGGATGACGACGGTAGCGGATATCTATGGAGGGAGCCGGCAAGTTAGTTCGATTTTTAGAGATGAAAACGGGAGGAAGAAGATCTGAAAACTTTGGCATCTGTGAACTTCTCTCAGATTTTTCCGAATCAAAGCACTACTCCTTCATCTTTCCCATCTTTGTTCAAGCTTTCATTGATTGCCTGCGGCCAGTCCGACTCCAAATCCAGCAACGAGTTCGGCAAGAGCAGATCAAGGTAGGAGCAGATAAATACCCGGCGTCATACCGAATTCGGCGACGAGTTCAGTTGGAGCAGACAAACCAGACTGCATCGATTTATGGGCTCGCATCAGGATGGGAGAGGGTGAAAGGAAGAGGGGCTCGAGAGAAGATGGTGATGGGACTTGGCGGTGGTGGTGGAGTCGGTAGGGTTGCTGCGATGGGTTTGCTGGGGAGCATGGTTGTCATGCCGGTGGCATGCCACCCGGTTGAACCTGGTTCAACCTATGTCGGTCATGAAACCGGCATGACACCACCGGTATGATCGACTTACGCATTCTACGTAAAATGACATCATTTTAATGAATTTAATGAATAAAAATAATAATTTATTATTCATTTTATGAATGTAATGGTTAAAAGTTGATGATATTTGTTGGATTGTAACTAAATTGTCCACAAATATGTTTTATATATGATTAAATACATTGGATATTAATGTTTTCACATTTTTTTAGACCGGCATGAACCGGCACAAACTGGTTATACCACCGGTCGTACCATTCTACTTGCCAAACCGGCACAACGGTATAAACCGGTTTGACAACCTTGCTGGGGAGGGAAGGGATTTAGAAGACGAAACGCAGATAGAGAGAGAGGAGAAGAGGTAGAGAGGGTTGGTTCACTGGTTATGTCACGGGTCGGGTTATGGTTAAATGACGTGGCGGGTCGGGTTCAATTTTTTCGGAATAAATTGGGCTGATTATGCAATTCTGTTAGTCACATCAGCAAATAACGGACTCAATTTAACGGAATTGACGGAGACTAACGAAAAGTGACTAAACTTGAACTGTTAAAGTAATTTTAGTAACTACGAATAGAATAAATATTTTTAGTGACTAAACCTTTTTAGCAATCCAGTGACCAATCTTGCAATTTACCCTAAAATATTTTGTAAAAGCATATTGATAAGCTTTCTTGATAGGCGATTTTGTAAAAGCATATTAATACATACACACAAAAAAATAATAATAAAAAGAACGAACGAATTCAGTACTCTGTATGACAAGAACTGACTTGGAACCGGAATGCGTAGACGAATAAATTCAGTATGGGACATGATTCATGAATAGAGGAAAGCAAAACTGCATAAGCTTGTTGGGTACATGCTTCCTTGGATTTTGAGCCTCTTAATTCTACTCCCCATTGTTATCTTGCTCCTTCAGGGCAGTCAAGGGCTTGTTATTCCTTGGAATGACCATATGTAGTACAAACTAAATGACAATCGATCCTATTCTATAATCCCAACCAATCAACAAAGCAGAAAACATGATGCCAGTGAACAATATCAAAATCAACTGGAAGTGTAAACCATGTGCTGATCGTAGAAGGAGAAATAGAAGAGTCTGGGCATTCTTGTCAGGTGCATAGCTGCAGAGAACAGCTACCTGCAAAACATAGATGAAGAAGAGGATAAAGGTAAAAAATATTAGTCATTGTATAAAAAGAACATGCATGATGGAAAGCACACTTCAACGAAGACCTAACATCAATTGTATGGATTAGAAAAACCAAACCGATCTACAACCAACATACAAAAGAATTCTAGAGTGATGAAAATACTGCTAAACACAGAGAAGTGTCAAGATACATTATAGACTTAACTCGTAAAAAAGATAAATGTATCTTTCAAGGACTCAGATCCATGTATAATTCCGCGAATACATCAAACAGTCCAGGAACTCATATCATATATGCAGAAAAACAGAGAGATTTATGCCAATCAATCAAAAAGAGCATGGACACAAACATGGCAATTGAACAGTTCTTTATTGATTGAACGATTTTCACCCTCTCTTCCCGTCTTCCTGCTACCCTATTCCGTCTACAACTCTCTTCTTCTTTTCATCTTCCTCTTTGCTGCTTAGAATTCTTTGAGATCCGGCTACCAAATGAATCATTCTCAATTTCTTTCGTTCAGCAATCAAATCGCTATCCACTTGCATTTGATTCCCTCAATCCCAAAAGGCAGGGCTAGGCCGCATCTTTAGAAGGCAAATGTTTTCACAACATTTTTATATAAAAATGATTAGGTTCACACAGAAATCAGAACTGGAAAAGAATTATCAAGTGAAGAACAGTTGCGGTTGAGAAGGTAGAGATTCTCTCCAAGGATAGTAGATGCAAAAAATATGAGTCCTTGTTCACTCTAAAACAGACCATTACTATTATTAATGTAAGCCTTCTAGTTCTCGGCTACAGGGAGACTCCATTATGCTTATGAATATCATAAGAAGAGGTTTGAGAATGGGAAAAGAACTCAAAGATGGAGATAACACAGTCAATTCTTGTATGCATAATAAAATATAAATGTTCAGTCAATAGCAGTCGACAAACAGGAATTTGAATGAGCAAGATTCTAAATTTGGCAGTCTCTTCTTAGTTGTTAATTGAGGACAATGTCATCAACCATCTATACAGCCCAAGACAACTAAACCACGAACATTAAAGGAGCTCAATAAACAGCGCACCATGGATTCTACGTACCATCTCTGCTAGTTTCTTGCCTCACCTATCTAGTTCCCCAATAGATTTTTCTCCCATCTCCCTTGTTGATGAGACGATGACTTCCATACACACTGCGAGTGCATTCCCGCATTCCAGCCTGACAATTCACAGTTGAGTTAGCATAGATAAAGAAATGCGTCTTCAGAATTAACTGTAGCAAAGAGTTACATAGCAACCAAACACTGCTACTTCATGCTAGAGGCAAACTAAACAAAAAACAAACTCCAATCAACTGTAGGTTCTTCCCCACAACAAGACATGAAGGAATCCATCAATGAGATTCATAGTAAGGCACAAAACTTTGACAAAGCACATAAGGACAGGTTGCCAAAGAAGAGCTAATCCAGGTCAAGCAAAGCATAGTTAAGACATTTTATTAGGATCCTGGAGTGTACAAAAGGTAAAGAACATAAAACCAGCAACTGACAGTATTGTATAGTTTGAACTTGTCTCGCGTTCGAGGATAAGCTCTAGTGCCTTTACTTGTCCTTGACCTCTTGGAACTTACTTTTCCACGCTGCAATCTACATTCTGTAGAGTGCTGGTGGCAGCACACCACTCGCCAAGGTACCTCGCTGACCAGCACCACCATTGTCATGGAGTGATATCCCCAGAAAAGAGACAAAGCATATACCCTTTCCATTGAACCAAAGTAAACGAATCCAACAAAGAAATGTGAAAGAACAAATGGACCAGAGAGAGAGAGAGGAATCACAAGAAGACAATTACAAAGATTCCTTTGTGCAAGTGGAAGGGTTCATGAACCATTATTGTACGTTTCACTGAAAAAAGGAACTTCCAAAAGTCACCTCAACTTGATGAAATAAGGCTTACCATCCTTCATTCCTAAAGTAGCAATATCTCTTTCCTGGTGCAAATCGACAACTCCAGCATTAATGGCATCCCCAAATCTAAGGACCAAATCATTGTAGTTAGGCAAGGTCTTCATTCTATGTGTTGGAGCATGTGGGTGTGGCTAGATTGATTAAGAACTTACCACTGATTTAAAAGAGGATAGCTAATGATGAATACAAATTCCAAAGAGATAATAATGTACCTTGATATAGCAATCCCCAAATATATTTTCAGAAGTTATAATCATCTGCGGTGTGTGATCCCAGGAAAAGGCATTTTATCCTTGAATAACCTTGAGATCACTGTAGTATTTCAATAGTTTCTCATACGGATGTCCTAAAACCCTTTTAACATGATGAGTACCAAATTTAGCATTGAAAAAAGCAAGCATATCTGTCCAAGCTTGTTTGCTGGATGACCATCAACCTTGTTGCCTCTTCCTATCTGGTCCATCATCAGTTTGATGAAATATCGATCCATATCAGGATTCTACTCTGACTTTACACACTCGCTATTAATTGATTGCAACAGCATACTTCCCGTTGCATCACCTATATAAGTAAAGTCACAAAAAGGCAAGAATATTTATATTATGACACAAAGACAGACATTTGAAGTTTTGACACAAGTAGGGGAAGAATAGGCTTCATACGCACCACCCACTTTCAATCCTTGAACTTCATCCTCAAAGTCCATGTCATGACTCGATCGACTGTATCTCCCTACTGCAGTGGTATGGCCGTATATGATGCACAGATTGTTGAAATCAAGCACTGGATTTGACCTATAGCATCATGCGTTATGTACATTACATTACTTTGGCAGTAAACAGAATGATATAATCCCAATGTCACAGAACATAACATGAAGTGCAAACCTTAACATAAGCATTCCCCGTGTAGTTATCATGGGCTACCACCATCTGTCTGGTCTCGTCCGAGGAGAATCCATTATGCCCAAGAATGGTCCTCACATCATTTAAGTGCTTCCACAGGTTTGTATAACGACTCTTTAACACATTTTTAGCATACTGTGATCCGAGTTTCAAATCAAATACACACACCTGTCGATGCCTGTCTGGTAAAATCATGTTCACTGTGCAACTGTTGTAAGATGAGATCGATGAAATACCGCTACGTTGCTCAAGTCCGACATGTTCTTGGTCTGTCATTGGTTGTTACAGGTTACAGGTTGGTCACTCATTCCATGCCAAGATGAATTGTCAACAGGAGGAGTAGGCACCATCATCATTGGACTCAAATAGGTACTAAGTAGTGACCAAAAAACCACACTTTCATGAAACTCCCATTTCCTTCAGTATCATTCAATACACTCCTCGCGCCCAAAATGGAAATCTCACGAAGCCCTTTCAATCAGCGCTGAAGCCCTTTCAACTCCTCTACTTGATGCTTCCACACATTGATGTTTCGGAGAAAGCAAGGCTATCCTTCTTTTGGACAATCAGCAGACAAAACATGATAAGGAATCAGAAAGAGGAAAGAATGAAAGGTGTTTCCACAAATCAATCTAATTTAATTTGTTATGATCAGATAATGATTAAAAAAAGAATTCATCTCCCTGACCTCCCGTTCTCGGCGTATTCCTTCATCCTCTCCATGTACTCTTTTGCACTCCCCCAGTCACCCCCACTGCGCTCTTTACCTCTCGTAGGTGCTCCCCTGCTAGCTCCGACATCTCATGGCCAGTGGACTTCAACGACCCCTTCACTGCTGTCGCCGCCAACTTCGTCCCTTCCATAATCTGGTCCGTTGTGTATTGTGGTGCCGTCAACCTCGCCGGAGCCATCTCCTCCCTCACGTCCTCCGTCACTTATTCCTTGTAGTGAACCGCCAGTTTGATTGAGGTCTTATGAGTGAAGCTAGAGAGTGAAAGGAAGAGAAAGAAGTCCGCCGCAACTCCAATCGGGTTGCCGGACAGGTAAATGGAGGGAGAAAAGCTCACCGGCAGTATTTGTTTCGCAGGTATGAGTGAGAAGACAGCGTTAGATCTGGAGACGGGTTGAGAGTTTTAAAGAAGCAAAGATCGAGAAGGAGAATGAAGGGGGGGACCTCGCCTGCTTCGCCGTCTTCATCTAGGAGTCTAGGACTGGTTCGGAAGCGGCCGCCGAGGAGCAAGAGCGATTGAATTGTGAGATGCTTGCCGACGAAGCCCATGAGATTGACCGATCCGTCTCCTGATTCACAACGCCGAACCCCGCAGAACCCACCGCCGCCTCCCATAAAGGTACACAACGATCATGACCTCGATTGTCCCTCTACGCCGATGGCCCGTCCAATAACCATCATCGAGATTCGAGACCCCATAACGTCGGTAACCCAATGTTTCAATGGCGAAACTCGCGTGTTCAATGCACACTGTTTTCAAGTAAACACAAAATACAAAGTCAACACAATTATCAAATATTCACTGCTGAATGTCGGAGCCGTTGATTTGATCGATTAAACAAAAACCAAGACGATCGTCAAATATCCATCGCCAGCGTCGGCGATGTTGATTTGATCGATGCACATTTGACTTCTAACCAGAACAACCGTTACTCGGTTCACCACCTCTCCAAACTACGTTCGAACGAGGGTGTTCAACGAGAAAACAAACCGGGAGTGTTCTAAGTTATGTTACCTCTACTCCTATGGAGATTTCTCTGGAGAGCTCCGCGACTACGATACCATCTACGACTACTACAACTCTGCAAAGGAAGTCTTTGATAGAGAAGTTCTACAAACTAGAGAGAAAAAATGTAGATTCTGCGACGGTGCAGTTTGAGATTTGTTTTTGCCTTCGCGCCTTTGTCTCCAACGTCTTCATTCCTGTCAACTGTGCAGGTAACCTCCTCCTTGTTGCGTGATAATCACGTGCCCCCGAAACCGTTCCGCTACGCAGAAACTTGGCAAAACGACGTTGAGTCAAATCCTACAACCTTGTCCACGCAACGATGCCGTTTCGCCTCCATAAACTAAGCGAATAAACCTCCTTCGTCCATAACGTCGTTCTCATCATCTATGATAAACTCATGAAGCTCGTGACATTGTTTTTAATCACATGATGTCGCTCACCAATACCGCGGCATCGCTTTTCACTACTCAATGTCGTTTTATAATCACAACTCAATTGCCCCCGCCTGGTTTGACCAACGACACCGTTAGCCCATCACACAACGTCCTTTTCTAGTCTTGCGCTGCCGTTGGGTTTGGCGGGCCGCCTTTGGCCGAACTCTTACCCAATACCGCGGTGTCGTTTTCTCTCGCGGCGTCGTTTTTAGCCAAATAACACCGTCTAAAATAATTATTAAAAAAGATTAATTAATTAAACCGGCTCATTATTGTCACGCGGTCATATTCTCTTTCCACGACATCGCTTTTCACTAATCGATACCGATCCCATCAAACAATGTCGTTTTCCATTTCGCGACATTGTTCTCTACTAAACGGTAACGTTTTTCTCGTCTTGCGGTGCCGTTGGGCTTGCTCGCGGTATCGTTTCCTTCCCCTAAAAGGCTTCGTTTGCTTTTCCTTTCGCAACATTGTTTTTTATTAAATAATGTCGTTTTCTTATCCGCAGTGTAACGAAAAAGTATAAAGACTTTCCAATCCTCCGCATCCCAAAGCTGGATGCCACGCGAAAGACTAATTATAGTAAGAAGAAGCGAAAAAAAAGTCTTTGAGAGATTGTTGATACCTCTTGTGCCATCGTTTTCAACTAAACGACACCGTCCTAAATAATCATTAAAAATATTAATTAATTAATCCGGCCCTCACTAGTCAAGCTCGTGTGTTGACCAACGACATTATTAGCGCCAAAACGGTTCCGTTTGCTTTTCCTTTCGCGACATTGTTTAAATATTTTAAACACTGTCGTTTGCTAGCACAACAGTACCGTTTTTAAATCCGCGGTATCGTTTTACTTCTCCGCGATGCCGCTTGTTTTCACGCGGTATCACTTCTCCCCTCCTGACAAAGAATAAATAAAAAAACTCATTTTTCCAACACCAACACTAACCGTGCGGCCCACCTCTTGTTCTCCGACAAACATTGTCGTTTCTAGTGCCGCGGTACCGTTGAGCTTTCTTGCGGTGTCGTTTTACCCATACCGCAGAGTTGTTGATGCCTTAAGCGGTATCATTTTTAATTAAACGACACCGTCCAACATAAACAAAAAATACCAGTGTATTAAACCAGAGATTTTCACAGTGTTGGGCTGGGCAGATTTTGGGCCAACCACTTACCCGATATGATTTTTAATTAATCGGCATTGCTTACCAAGGCCTCCCGCGGTACCGTTTTCTAATCCGCGGTGTCGTTTCTCTCCTCCTCCGACAAGGAATAAACAAAAGCATTCATTTTCCAACAGCAACACTGACCATGCGGGCCATATCTCACTACGATTGTTTTCCAGTAAACAATGTCGTTTCAAGTGGCGTTGTACCGCTGAGCTTCTTTCGGTGTCGTTTTCTAATCCGCGGTATCGTTTTAACTCCCCGAGATACCGCTCAACTCCAAATGATACCGTTTTTTTATCCGCGGTAACGAATTAAATACTCAGACTAATTAATGCGACATTTAATTTAGTCCAAAAATATTTTAGGTGTAAACAATGCCCCCACAACTTCAATTACCTAAAATATCTCCAACTTCGGTGAGTCAAGTTAAAAACAACTCTGCTTAGCAAAATGAGGCCAATTTGATATAATTAGCCTAGCAACATGAATTGTCCAAAGCTGTCGGCAAAGTTGTTTTTTTTTTCAAATATCCACCAGCAGCATTACGGTTCCACTCTAGTTTTTTTATTGGATTCCTTCCGCAACCCTGCGGATCAGCGACTTGAACTTTTTTATTACTAACCAACCTTGCGAATCTCAACGACACCGTTGCAAAGAAAAGAAAAAATAAACAGCTTGGCAACATTGTTTAGGCCAACGAACGATATTGTTTTTCTCCTTGAACAACTTTGTCTTTCAGCCACATATTTTATTATTTTATTTTTTATCAAGCCACCAACGTTGTAGCATCCACAACAGAGCTGTTTGCACTCTTTCCTTCCCCCCAACGCTACGACAATTCCTAACACCGTAGGGCATTCAACATCGTTGTTTTCCTCAGTAGAGTTGTTCTTCCAAAAATAGCTTCGTTTAATTTTTTTTAAACACCTTTGCTTCACGGCCATGTATTTTATTACTTTCGGCCAAGAATATAGGCCATTTTGCCCTGTATTGTGGCCAAAATAGTGTTGCGACCATGATTGGTCCTTCTTTACCGCAATAGTGTTATTTCCTCCACATGGTCGTAAAGCTATTTCTTATAAAGCAACTTCGATTTTTTTTATAGCTTCGATTTTTCAACAGTATTGTTCCGGCAACATATTTTGGCCAAGTACAACGCTCCTTTTACCTCTCCAGCGCCGTGCCCCCCAACAACGTCGTTAAGAAGAAGGAGAAAAAAAAAACGACACCTTCTGCTACGTGGCTTAGGCAAAAACGACCATGTTTGGTCATTCTTTCCTTATCAACCATTATCAAAGAAAATAAAAAGTGAAGCCATGTTTAATCTTTGTCGATATTGTGACTATTTCGACAACATAGTAGCCGGCCGACCATATTTAACAACTCTGGCCTAAAGAAAACAAAACAATTTAGCCAACACAACCATACACCAAAGGCCTTGATTATGTTAATGCAATGCCGATTGCATCTACGTAGCTCACTCAATCACGAATCTAAAATAAAAGCGATAAATTGGCTAAATAACATGATTGCAACATATCCATGCTATATTTCCTAACATTCACACGTAAAACAATCTTTGAAGCCATTCAGAATCAGATTTAACTCGTACCTGTCAGACTCATGCAAGCTGGCAATATGAACGTTGAATGTGGATCATCCTTCCCGCCAAAGTTGATTTCTTCCATAATGTCGCAGACATCACCGCTGCTTCCTCTCCCAACTTGTTACTCGCATCCTCGCCGTTGATCATCAACCCCTCTATCAAAGCCGTGATTTCGACCTTCTCCACCCTCTCTTGAGGTGGCTTACTCTGATTTTGGTGGACCACCTAATGCACGCATTGATGGTCTCACAAATTCAGACAAGTGGTTCAAGCAAGCCTTACTCAAAACTCTCGCGCTTGAAACTACAACATTGCACGTTCCTCCCTCCCCGCTCTTGATCTCAAGTGGTCCAAAATCCCCATGGTACAAATAAGTTTCAGCCACATTGGCCCCAACGAAAAACGACTTTGTGTCAGCCTGTACCACCTCAACGCACTGTCTTTATTCCATAGCATCAAACACTGATGCAGCAATGAAGGAAAGCACTTGTTGGTGTGGATCCAATCCCGACCAAGTAGTGCGTTGTAGCTTATCATTCCATTCACCACGAAGAAGGCGTTCATCCGCTTCTCTGATCCAACTCCCACAACGACTGGGAGGATTCCTCTGGCAGAAGTGGACCCGCCATTGAAGCTTTTCACAAACACTTCTGTTGGGATCAAGTCATTAGCATTCTTTCCCAACTTCTTCAGCATCCTTGTTGGCATCACATTTACTGCAACGCCATTGTCAACTAAGACTCTCGACATTGGTACGTCATCAAGTGTGGCCTTGATGTAGAGAGGCCTCAAATGATGCAGCATCTTCAGCTCGGGCTCGTTGAAAACAACGACCATGTTCGATTCTTCACCCGTGGTTCCTTCGTTCACAACTTTCCCCTTCGCTTCTGCAACTCGGATAGATTTATTCACCTCATCGAACTCTGATCCCCACATGATGTTCTCCACTGGTACACTTGTTGA